ATTACCCATTCAAGCTGTCTCCAAGCATCATAAAGAGCAAAATGTTCAGAGACAGAACTATAACAAAGTGGATCAAATATAAGGCTTTTTGTTTCCTAGTTCTGTTAAAATACCTCTAAACATAAAGCGTTTTTACTTATGACGGAATTATTCCGTTCTTTACTTATTAATGATAGTGGTTCATAATAGAGACCCCCCCCAGGAATTTCACAAAATTTCTAATAGAACATACGGGCAAAAAACATCTTAAAAAGCAGTCTTGTTCTTGAAACAACACTCAAAATCTTCTACCTCAATTGCTAAGGCTGTTAAAATATTGATAATAGCAAAAAAGTTGACTTTCCGATTGTCAGACAAAATTCAACCATTTGTTCTTCATATTATTATTCATATTATTCTTGTTTCACAAGTCTACAGAAAAAATGGCTAAGAATATTTTATTCAAACTGGACCAACCTACTAAAAACATCCTATGCAGATCATAGGACTATTTTTAGATTGAATCTTGAAAGAGAATGAAAGATTTTATGAGTTTTCTCATCATTACTGGTCAAGTTTCTCTTCGAAGCCATTCAGCAAAAATGGCTATGTATAGTGCGCCAAAATCTATGCAAAGCTACTGAATAAACTCCTGCGAAGGTTGTAGGGATATTTTTTAAGTTTATTCTTGTAAGTCGAAATTTCCACCATCTAAAACTTTTTAAGTTCTTCTTCGCTACCAACATAAGCTCTTCGAAGCCATTCAAGCATCGCAGAAATGTAAAAGTCATTTAAGCATCGTTATACTAGTCAGAAATGCTCCATTTTATACTAGTTGCAAACGCTTCATATTATTTGAATAAATAATGTGTATATTTATAGCAGTGTCTAGAGCCTTATTATTATTATTATTAAAGTGGCTACGAATATTTTAGTGAACCTGGACATTAGTAAAGAATAGAGTACTGAATATGTCATAGGGCAGTGTTAAAAATATTTCAAGTACCATAGTTTTTCGCCCTGAAGAATTTCTCTAAAACCCTTACTTTCTGCCATTCAAAAAATCCGATGTTTTACTAATGTGCATTAATTGGAAAATAATTTATGCAACTCTTAACGCATTAATTGGAAACTGCCACGTTGAGGATTCATCATTTCTCCAGTTCACTGTTGTATTTTGTCTCTACGTGGGTTTCTGTGACTATTTCACTGAGTTTTCTAACAGTAGACGATCACCATAGTAGATTTCTCTACTCTAGTGAGTGGTGATTTATTCTACTGATTTCCGTGTTTTGCTGAAATTTGTAATGCATATTTTAGTATTATTATACATATTTTTGTTTCACAAGCCTACAGCAAACTCGACAGGGTATACTGACTCAGTAAGTAATGCTTGGATGAAAAAAAAAAGCCAGTGCTGCAGTAAACTGTTGAAAAACATGTAACATTCAACTGAATGCATAGACATGTTTGTAGCTTAAAGTTTATTCTCCATAAATGAACATAAAAAACATAAGAAACAAGATCATTAAAATTGTTAATTTAAAAAGGGAAATAAGAGTAGTTTAAAAATACAGAAACAATTTGATTCAAAATGCAAAGATTATATTTTGAATCCTTACAACTAGGGACTCTAAAAAAGTAAACATAGCTTTATCAACTGGTACTGTCGTGAGTAAAGATACGATATTAAAAGATAGAAGCATATCCCCATTATTTAGGCTTACTTTACTTAGTTTCCACAAATTCTATAGAATTTTAGATAGTATAAATGTTTTTGTCAGTAGGGGAAGAAAACTTATATGCTAAAATTTAGCTACATTATAAAATGGTGAACCTATATTTGACACTATAGGTCTATAAAAATCTCTTATTTTATGAGCCTATAGTAAGGCATAAAATCTTGAGTTACAAAACTACTTAGAATCACATATTTTTTATCTTTCGGAGTTAGACTTATACAGTCTTTAACATTTTCTTTAATCATTTCGTGAAATTTGATTTCACACTCTTGAGGATGACGTGATTCGACGTCGAAACATGTAGAGTCGTCAACTTTTTGAAGGCCATAGATAGGCCTAAATAAAATGTTTTTAATTGTGTTCCGGTTTAACGTTGAATATTATTTATGATTTTAACTTTATACACAAGTGCCAAGATACTATAATTATGTAGTGTGTCTGTTTTAAGACCATTGATCGGTCATATAATAAAGGTTTTTAATGTACCGATAAACGTTGATCATTTGAGTATTTTAATTATATTTACACAAGTAACTTGAACTTCAACCTTTTAATATTATGAATCTAGCAACGGTAATTTTGTAAGGTCATTTGAAAAACCGTGGCGCAAATTGAAAAACAACAACTACTTCAATTAAATTTCCTAGTGAAATGTAAAAGAAATGGTATTATACCGAAATCCGTCAATGTAAAATGTAATATCAAAGGAAGCCGTATTGACTACTGTTTACAGAAGACTAAACAACGGATTTGAAGATTGTGATTTGATAAAAAAAAGAAGTGTTATAAGGAAGTCAAGGAAGTTATAAGGAAGTTTACCACCTTTACTAATCAGCGACGAAAGAGCGTAAAGAAGACTGGAGAAAATTGTTTGAACACGTACTCACAAAAACTTGGAGAAGTATAGAATTATAAAAGAAGCCCAATTATTTATCAAATAAATACAATAAAATAAGAAAAATCTAAATGAGTTGCTTATGCCAACTTGATAAGAAGTAATTAACAAATCGAATATTGTGTTAAACAGATTGATGTACAAATTGTAGTAAACACAACAATTTTCGAAAAGAGAGTTTGTTACAGAAGTGTTTTAGTAAAATAAAAATTATTAATAAAGTTGATATCATTAGAGCTGAATGTATAGAGATAATAGGTAATTTTGAAGTTAGGTTGAAGGAAAATGAAGATGTAGAGGTTCTGAAAGATTTGTATATTGTAATTTGTGGTCAATCAGTCATCCAAAACAAAGAAGATGATATCAAGAAATTTCAAGAGATGCTAGATGAAGGTGTATATGAAAAGTTAACTAGATGAAGGTGTATATGAAAAGTTAACTAGATGAAGGTGTATATGAAAAGTTAACTAGATGAAGGTGTATATGAAAAGTTAACTAGATGAAGGTGTATATGAAAAGTTAACTAGATGAAGGTGTATATGAAAAGTTAACTAGATGAAGGTGTATATGAAAAGTTAACTAGATGAAGGTGTATATGAAAAGTTAACTAGATGAAGGTGTAT